TATATATATATACATACTATCAAGTACAGTTGGTTGTCTAATATATTGAGTGTCTGAAGCAGGTAGATACATAGGTGTATTGCAGAGTACGAATGTAAGGTGATCAGATGGAATCTGTATGCGGTTGAAGTTCACGTTGGGTTTACTTCACTATTTCAATGTTGTAGTTGGCGGAGACTGATAGAGAGTACAGGTTGGATATACTATAGCGTGCAGCTATATATCCACACACCTGAGGAGTACTTAGTTTTTGAGGTCTACGGCTGCAAGCCCTTTGTAGGTGTGTACTATTTATTATTATTAGATGCTCGAATATAGCAGATAGTTCATGAATCAATGAGGCTAGAGATGAATCGCCTATATAGTATTCAATACAGTAAAATCCATTGCAACGACCCGGCATTCCAAGCTGCCCCTCATACACACGGCTCCCCGCGATGCGAACCAATACACCTCCACAGATAAACTAGAGCTCATGTATTCGCAAGTCTTTGATGCTGGCGTTGTACCTCCTAAGCTGATCTCAGTGAACATCCGCTGGGGTGACAAGTGGAGCGAGATGTTGCTCAATCCAATCGAAAGGTAAGCCCTTGTAATTGATGTTGTTTCTGTGAGTTGGGTCTATAGAATTCGTGGGGTCCCGAAGTTAACACTGATTAATGGCTCCTGTTTGGTATCTCTGCACGGCTCTATCTGTATACCTAGCGTATGTTGCGACTGCGTGTTCTAGTTCACACCGCAAGATCAGGTCTGGTCTGGTCTCTGCGATTGAATATGGCGTCTGATTCTGAAGAGGCATTCAGGTTCCTGATGAGAATCGCCTAGTTTTTCAGAGTACCGTTGTGTCGCGTGCCGCTACCTATTTGTATTATTTTATTTGTGCTTGGATATCAGAAATACTAAAGGTGTAGAAAACAGCTTATACCTCACTACAAATGTGGTAGTTTCAGATTATGTACTTTATTGCTAATCACGAGGACTGTGTGCTAGTGTAGTTGCAAGTTGGGCACACAATTGAAATACGGTTGATACATGTTTCAGGCGTAATACGGTATGGTGCTATTTCTTGTGTTGTATAGCGTTGTATATCAATTTGTCCTCGAAACCGTGTTGTGATATATCACTTGTTTACCATCGGATGACTGTGAAAGAGAAACGCTGATCTAAAAAGGGGGGGTTTTTTTTGGCCTACGTCAACTCTCTGAAGTGTTCGATTAGTTCGGGAGGTCGGGTTTTTTCTTCGCCTCCGCACACGTTTTCAAGCGAGGTCTTTGAATGTTATATACATTTGTATTTGAACTTATCCCAGCGCCTTTGTTGATTGTAAGCACTGTCGTCTTGTTCGTTTGAAGGTATGTAGGTACCGTCGCTGACCTTGTGCGTCTACACTACAACAAAGACGAAGCCGTGATAGTATTCTTACAGACCTGGGAGCAAGACGCTCACGATCACTTTCACAGGCTTTCCCCGGTGAGTGATGTACGGAAATCTCGCTATTAAACAATACATACACAATATATTATAGTAGTGTGAGTTAGACTAGTAGACTGGTGTGTATGTAGGTGTCTACTCTGCCAGTGATATGAGCTAGTAGGGAGATGGTATATCTATACCTACAGAGTGGTGTATTTTTAATCAACTACACAGTGGTGCATCTATTATTTACCTGCACAGTGATATATCTTTTCTATACCTACAGAATGATATATCTTTCCTTTACCTAAAAAGTGGTGTATCTTTTTTATACCTACAGAGTGGTGTATCCATCATAAAACTATACAATGATGTATTATTTATTTGCGTTCTTGTTCCTGTGTATACGACGGTTTGTTTGCTCAAATGGTATAGAATGTTCACTTGTGGTTTCTAGTTTCTGGTAACTGGAGAAAGCCATGCACTGCAGTTGTCATCAGTTGTCATATAACACTCCTGCATATCTACCTATCTTTTTTATTCATCTATAAAACGCTTCTGTTCATCTATTTCTCTCATTCATTCATCCATAAAACTCTCATGTTTATCTACCTCACATCCAGAAAGCCTGGGATGTTCGGTCCTTTGCGTTCGATCGCAGCTTAAACCCCCATGACACAGAGGGCGCCCGTAGCCCTAACTCAACAACCATCTCACTGTGTTCTATGTACATTGCGGCTGATGCCATGTTCCATGTCGGCACCCGGGACTCGAATTGGGACCGGCTCATTGATGAGTTGAGGATAACAAGGGTGAGTGGGTATACACTATTGTTATGATTATGATTCTATTCCTGGGATTGTGATGTGTTGTTCTGGTTTTATTGATTGAGATGCGTATGGTATGTAGACACAAGCTTAACTACTTCAGTTTAAAACACGCTCTTGTTTGGGTTATATATATCATTCTCTCAATGAAAATATTTGCCACCGGAAATTCTCAGGGGTTTCACCGACCAAGCAGTCTCATGGTGGATCTGAGCGAATCGGGCGGAGATATGCGAGACAACCCTTAATCTCTGGAGAGAGATGAGAGTATGATGTGATAATTCATATTGAGCAGGAACAAGCTTTTCAAGAGAACCTTTTAAGCGGGGGTCGAATAGGGACAATGAGCGTCACAACGAGTACGGACTACCGAAGATAGGAAGCCCATGACACTTATATAGTAATAGGACATGCATGTGAACGTCCTTAGCCTGAGATTCCGCATATTTAGTACGATTCGAGAGTGCGTTGATAGATGGTCAGTCATCAACAGAGCCCTTACAGCACTGATGAGGAAAAAGAAGCTCTGGGTAGATATAGCAGACGGGCGAGACTAGTAACCTCCGGATGTGAACACACAACCTGAGCCAAAAACAAATATCTGTAGCAAAGCAGGAAGTGAAAACCAGCACACCTCTGGAAATCAGCGCACGTTAAAAAGCTACCTACCATGAGACGGCCCTTTTGGTGACTATGGACCACCTACTGATAATTGTGTGGGGATCGGCGTCTCTGGAAATGACCACTCATAGCAATGGGAACGCTAGAGGTGTAGCAAACCACTCCCAGCACACTCATGCCAGTTTCAACCAAACAGGCAGTTAGTTTTAACCAAACAGGCGGTTAAGTCAGGTCTAGGCTGAGAAGTGTAGTTGGAGTACTACATGCAGAACTCGACAGGCCCATGCACATGCACTACTGTGTAGTGTGTAATTAAATAGTGTGTAGTGTGTATTTAAATAGTGTGTAGTGTGCATTTAAATAGTGTGTAGTGCGTATTTAAATAGTGTGTAGCGTGTATTTCATACTGTGTAGTGTGTATATAAATACTGTGCAGTGTGCAGTGTGTAGTCAGTAGTGTATATTGACTTAGCGCTACAAGTAGTATTTACTATTCAGGTGTACTGGATTGGCCATCGGCGTTTCACCTATATATGGATTTAGGCAAACCACCACCTCATCGACCACGGTGGTTCTATCATCAGGCTGACATGACACGGAGGAGAGATGACCCACAACCCGAGCGCAGAGTCAATTCGAGGTGTCAACTCGTGCTCGTAGACGTACAGGCCCATTTTAAGCCCATGTGGTGAGGAGTGAACGTATACTCAGATATGCGGAGTTCACATCACAAGTCTGGCACACTATTCGCAGGGGGAGCTTTCAGCATGACTATCCCGGAGTAGAACTCGAAGGCATTTATCGGATTGTGCGCAAATGGGGATGCGTATTGGAGAAGTACTCGTGTGCATGAAGCACAGGTAGGGCGAAAGCAACGGCGCATACGTATGTATTGCTCATACGAGGCTGAGTTCATTGTGACAAGCACCAAGAAGAGATACGGACGCCGAACAGTAGCGATTGCGTTACGGTTGGGGTTGGTTGAGGTGATGAGTACTTGATAAGAACATCGGTTTCATTCGAGATCCATAGCCTGCCGCGCTCGCACGAGAGACCGTGCTAAGACACTCAACCGACCGATTATGGTACAGTTTGACGCAGAAGTAAACACCACTCTATAAAGTTTCAGGACCACCCGTCTAGCGATACTGAAGGCAAAACGTTCTATTTTAGGTCAATCATATTCTATCGACAGGGTAACATAAACACCTGAGGTGTCTCTGTCATGAACGTATAGAGAAATCGCCGCCGTGTTTGTGTATAATTATCGGCATATCCGACTTTACCTACTTATCTATATTTGGCACCTCAGGTCACCTCCTGCAGATCTAGATACGGCTCGCTGTGTCTGCATATCTAAGGTCGCAGCCTTTCGAATTGAAGTGTCCAAACAGTACTCAAGAAAGTTTCAAACTCTTGCTCCCTTTCATTATCAGTCGTTGTCGATTTATCTTTTATATCTAAATTGTAGAAAAACACTATTAAGCCGACAGCAGTGGAGAATCTGACGCCTGCGGATATATAAATATACGTTATATATATATATATATATATATATATATATATATATACATACATATACATATACATATACATAAATATATACGAATACATGTACATATACACAAAAGCCTAGGGTTTGCTACTCTACTAAAACATCACCTTCATCGTGAATGAAGGGATACGATCCAACGCACGTCCAGCCACCGATCGGGCCGGTAGTATCCCACAATTCCAAAACACTAGTTCTGAACTCTTCACAACTCGCCAATTCACGCTCTATACCCGCACACAGCTTTAACGCATCCTCACGTGCCTTACAGTCGTATCTGAGACTCATGTGTGGCATATACGTCTCCACATCGCCATGCACACCTAACGATACGCCGGCACGCTCGCTGAGGAGTGTCTGTGCGCGTTCGTACAGCGTGCGTAGACCATCCCCCTTGACCATCTTGAAGTACACGCACTGGGTGTGGTGGTAGTGGCCGGCATCGCATACGTCTAACTTCATACAGGGCCCAGGTAGTTCGCTTACCAGTCGGTTGCAGAGGCCCCGCAGTGATTGTACCGAACTGTTATATAGCCCCCCCACTAAGGTCACGTGGGGTTCAAACTGCTGATCCGGGTGGTTGTTCTGACTACGTTGGATTGTGTAATAAAATTGTGCAACGGGTGCTGGTTAGGTTGGCTGTGGTAGGAGAGTTGGTCAGAAGTGTTGCGTACAGTAGGCGCAGTAGTCAAGAACAGCAGTGATTAGGGTGTTCTGTAGGAGGTCCGAATACAGCAGGTATGGGGTGTATAATAGCTTATAAACAAGACTAGTCACACTAATAGGGAGCCCAGCTCTTGGAATCGTGCAGAAGAAACAATTGTAGCATGCGCTGTCGATAGTAAAGGTCAAGTATGTATAGTTAAAAGGATACTCCTGGTCTCGAACATAACGTGATGTGAAATGTAGGGTGAAACTGAGTAAAGTACCTATGTAGCAAGGGTTCTTTACGATTGAACTTTTGAATCACTCGAATGATTGTCAGCCGGGCAACCTCGATACTTCCACAATCTCAACAGTACCTACAATACAATACAACTACCAACTATGCTGAGCCAGCGAAACGATTGATACAAAATCTAAATCCTCTAATGCCTGCCATTGTAAAGCATCTGTTCGTTTGCGTGGTGAAGCACGGCTTGTGGATCGCTTACGTAATACACGCCGGACTTGAATTCAATGTGGTAATTACAATCTTTTAATTGCAGCAGGAACGCCAATTGGTTGTATAATTATCACTCGCTATATCATTCTAAGATACCGAAGCACACGAGTGCGTGATTGAGTGAGAACAATTTCTTTAATAAACTACGCAACGTCAGAGGTTTCCCTAGGAAAACAACTGCTCCGCATGAATTAGCAACAAACATGCCTTACAAACTGAGAAATCTCTGGAAGCTTGCACGTATACAAACCGTTCAAGCGGTGTAACAAACTCAGTAGCTTCCTGCATGTAATAGACCACGGAAGCAGAGCGTGTTTCCCCATATGTTATTCGGATCTACACTGCCTAAGCGTGCAAATGTGCTATAAGGAGCCTAAAATTGAATATGCCACTTGAACTTCTATACACTAGGCAATACATTGAAGGGAGAGCACTAATATGTTAGGTAGGCCAGGCCTAATACTGGTTTGGCAGCACTGACTTCAAAACGACCATGGGACTTAATGAATTGTCGAATAAGAGTTCACACACACCTGATGATCTTTCTTGCCGTGTTATACAATCTATTGCGTGTGGGATCTGTCGACTCTGCGACTGTTGTTTCATCGCAAGTCAGCTTCTCGTGCTCAGGCATCAACCAGAGTGAGTACATAACATCTGTAGAGCCAGCAGCCTGCTTACTGCACAGGCCACAATTCACCAACATCCTCCGTATTTCACAAAACTCGAATGTACTAACAGATTACAACACCATATCCAACACTTTATTCTGTTCAATTTAAAGAAGTTTATGTTTATTCATTGCTTTATATGTACTAGGTACTAATAAAATAAATTCATATAAATACCAAATTTTACAACTGGTTCCCGGGAATCACTTTAAGTCAGAGCTGCCACTCTAGACAACGGGATACTGTCAATTGTGGGGTTTGATCACTCACAAGAATGCAGTGAGTACAACGACATACATATTCAACATATCTATTTATTCACTAATACTAATCGCTGACGCACAGTGGTGTACTACTGCCTGTGACTCGTGAGAGCGTGGCTATCTCTATACATAAACAGTGGTAGAAGTTTAAATGAGCAACCATTTGCCTGACAGCTGACATATTGATAGCCATGTCAGCCCACTCACAGTCCAGGTCCCGGACTCCAGCTGCCAGCAGCCACAGTGAGCCTGCAGGCTATGTATTTATGATAAATACAAGAGGGAGAGTACGATACATACATACGTAAAAATATTCAGAGTTTACACTTTGCAGTTTATAGTACACATCTTTTGGCACAGCAACCGCAAGCCGCAGGGTTTTCCATACCATGCAGACAAAGACGATAAAAATGTCTACGAGGCCAGCTCTCTCTTCTTGACCTCTTGTATTGTCCGCACGGTTTTATCGGGGTGACCTAAGCCCCAATGGTGATTGCTACGGGTGTATGTTCCAAGCTCCGAGGTGCAAATCTATATAGTGTTTGGTATGGATTGTCCATTTATTTAGTGATTTTAGTTCATTTTCCTCCCACTTTTGACCTCTATTCACTCGTCTATAAAAAATAAAAATAGTAAAATGTAGAGTGTTAAAAAGGATGTAAATAAAACCTATTTTCAAAATATGCGTTTACGTTAAACCTTTTTTTTATAAAAAAATTTGTTTTCTATTTAGGGGAGGCTATGAAATTGGCTTTTACATAGTAGATTTTGCCGATTTCGCGAAAATGTTCTATTTATGCAAACTCCCCGAGAGAAGAAGACGTCAAGTGTCAGATATGAGTGACATCCTTGTCTCCAAGGCTCCATGGTTTCCGACACAACTATAATATAAAACATCAACAAAAGAATTTAACACTGTATTTATACTGAAATTGATGTCAGAACACAGTAATAGACCCTCTAGCGATCTGAGAGCCAAGGAATTTACGACTGGTGAATTTGAAGAACGATGTGCTATATTGAATACAAACCCTGAATCTTGTAAAGCCAATGTACAGATCGCGTCTTTTTTTTTTTCACTTGTGGGAGTGAGGTGTAGAAATATGTGTACTTTGTTGATTGTATATAAAGGCCACACTAGCGCGCATAGCGAAGCATTCGTGTCTTGAGATCACTGCACACCTCTTCACAGACACATACACACGCAAATACTCAATGATGAACAAGGGGTTATTAAGGTTACTCCTCGTAGCCTTGCTGGCGCTCTGTGTCTTTGCCTCTGCGGAGAGTACCGAGGCTAGTGATGATTCACCAGCGGTCGAGAGTACAGAGGAAGCCGCGGTCGACGCCGCTAAGTGTCACGGAACAGAATGGTATGTATTCAGAAGTGTGACTTTATTTGCAGAGTGAGCTCTTCGTTTCTAGGTTATACTTCTGCCAGTTGGAGGTTCTGAAGCCCTTTCAATATCGCCACATTTGATATCTTTATGAACGAATGCAAATAAAATATTTGCTTGTTCTGGTACAAGTTATACTCATTGATCCCTTTCTTTTCATACGCACGATATTTCAGTGTTGTGCTCGATGGAATGACTGAGGAAGAAACTGCCGCTCTACTCAAGGGCTCGGAAACCCATGTCTTTGAGGCTGAAGTGAACAAGATGATGAAGCTGATTATCAACTCACTCTACAAGAATAAAGAGATCTTCTTGCGTGAACTCATCTCTAACGCGTCTGATGCCATCGATAAGATCCGATTCCTAGCGCTTACAGATTCGGATATTCTATCGACAGATTCCGATTTCAAGATCAGCATCCGGGCCGATCCCGAGAAGGGCGTTCTACACATCCAGGACAACGGTGTAGGTATGTCTCTAAAGGACCTTCAGAACAACCTCGGAACTATTGCCAAGTCTGGCACTGCCGATTTTATGGAGGCCGTATCTAAGGGTGACGCGAACAGTTTGATTGGTCAGTTCGGTGTTGGGTTCTACTCGGCTTTCCTGGTGGCTGACAGCATTGTGGTGACCACGCGAAAGGCTGGTGATGAGCAGTACATCTGGGAGAGTGATTCCTCACAGTACTCGATCACCAAGGATCCTCGGGAAGGCGATGAACACAAGCTAGTGCGTGGTTCGGTAGTGTCCTTGTACCTCAAAGACGAGGAGAAGGACTACCTTAAGGAGTCGACGCTGAGAGATATGGTATCCAAGTACAGTCAGTTTGTTAGCTTCCCCATCATGCTGCAGGTGCAGAAGGAAGTTGAGGTCGAGCCCGAACAGATTGCGACCGAAAAGGTCGACGGAGAGGATGAAGATGATGTTGATGTGGAGGTTGAGGTTGAAGACGAGGATAAGACCGAGCTTCCCAAGGAAACCAAGACAGTCACTGAATACGAGCAGCTGAACACAGTCAAGCCCATCTGGACTCGCAGCGCCAAGGAGATCTCGGATGAGGAGTACGTGGAGTTCTATAAGCTTGGATTCGGCAACACTGAGGAGCCGTTGGCGTACACACACTTCACGGCCGAGGGAGAAATCTCGTTCAACAGTATGTTGTTTATCCCCAAGAAGGCTCCCCAGGCACTGCTGCAACAGTATGGCAATGCCGCGGCAAAGATCAAGCTATTTGTACGCAAGGTGTTTATTACGGATGAGATGGATGATATCCTCCCCAAGTGGTTGTCGTTCATTGTGGGTCTGTTGGACTCGGATGATCTGCCTCTGAATGTATCGCGAGAGACACTGCAGCAACACAAGCTGCTCAAGATTATGAAGAAGAAGCTTGTACGCAAAGCCTTGGAGCTTATGAAAAACCTTGCCAAGGCTGACGAGGCGGATGCAGCTGACGGAGAGGAGGATTCAGAGGTCAAGGAGGGCGAGATCAACAAGAATAAATACATCGAATTCTGGGAGGAGTTTGGGTTGTTCTTGAAGTACGGTGCTATGGAGGACAAGGCCAACCAGGCTAAGATTGTCAAGCTGCTGCGCTTTAAGAGTTCAGCTGACCCCGAGAGGTATATCTCATTCGAGCAGTACGTGCAACGCATGAAGCCCAAGCAGGAGAAGCTGTTCTTTATCACTGGTACCGATATCGAGGATGTGACCAACAGACCCGTTGTCGAGAAGTTGATTCGCAAGGGATACGAGATCATCTACGCTATCGAGCCCGTGGATGAGTACCTATTCCAACACGTGACGGAATACGAGGGAAAGAAGTTCCAGGACGTGTCTAAGCCCGGAGTGGAGCTGGAGAAGAAGGGTAAGAAAGGGAAGGCCCACCAGAAGGAACTCACGCAGCAGTACGACCCACTCACCAACTACATCACCAAGCTCTTCAAGGAGGATGTAGAGACGGTCCGTCTCTCTGAGCTACTCGACCAGTCGCCCGCGGCACTGGTCACCGGCCAGATGGGACTGAGTGGTAACATGCAGCGCTTGATGAAGGCGCAGAACCGAGGTGATCCCATGATGGACTTCTACATGAGCCGTAAGCCTATACTGGAGATCAACCCCAGACACCCCATTGTCCAGGAACTGTTGAAGCGTGTGGAGCCTCTCGATTCGGATGAGAACGATCCGGCGGTGGATGAGACCGCGCGTGTCCTGTTGGATACAGCGGCCCTGAGATCCGGATATGACTTGGAGGTGTGTTGTGTGGACTACGGTAGTCTTGTTGCATGGGGGTTTGGTTTTGTATGTTATAGTTACTTTGTCGCTTGATTCTGTTGTGTATGTGTGGCTCCATGCTTTCACATGCAAAAGTAGCCAGGATTAGCAATCTGCTGAATTAGATTAGATGTACGCCTGTTAAATCTCACTCGGAGGTGACGCCTTTACGTGTTCGTTGTGCGGATCTGCATTCCTGCACTATACCTTTACTATTGAGCTGATTGGCGCAGTATAACACATGACCACACATTGGCGTGCGCCCAATTTTCTGTACGTGTATGCTTCAGTCTAGCGTGTTGCAATATTTGCAGCCACGTGTTCTCAAAGTCTTAAATTCATACATGGTTCTTGATGATTGCTGCCTCGTAATACTTGTACAAATACAGTTAGAGTTACAAATATAGTTAGTGACCACTCTTCATTCTGTATTTCACTTTATAGTATGAATATCACTATTTTCTGCCTTTATTCCGTCGTATTCTTAACTATAAACATCACATCACATGTTTAATACTCATTCGTATTCGTCTTGCAATCTTAAACAGGACCCCGTATCGTTTGCCAGTTCCGTAGAGAAACTTCTGCGCATGCGCATCGATGTGCCCCTCTCCGCAGAGGTCGATGACGAGGTCGAGTTTGAGGACGACGAGGAGGAAGAGGTTGTTTCCGACTACGACAGCAACAGCGATGAAGACGATGACGAGAGTATGGAAGAGATGATGGCTCGAATCAATAGTATGGAAGGTATGGAGGGCATGAAGATGATGAACGCAGAGGACTTTGCGGATGCCGGAGAGTTGGGCGACACGCAGAGTGAGCACGAGGAGTTGTAAGGTGGCGAGCTTCCTGTGTACGTATGCATATGTAGTACTGTGTAGTTGGAGATGAACGAGCCCTGACCGTGGAAAGGTTAGAGAGGATGGTATATGGTGTGTGCTGTGAGACGAAGCAGCACTGATTGCTGATTGCGGTATCTATATATACATATCGGGATGGGTACTAGTTGAGTGTCACACACACACGAGAAGCGGAGCACAAGGTGCACATTCGTCTAAACAAAAGACTTCTGGCGCGTAGTAAATTCGCTCCGTGCACGAGAAACCCCCGAATATGACTTGTGCGGGAAATCGTGAGTGGAACAAAACAACAACAGCCACCAGGCACGACCAGGGCGGATTAAAAGCTTTGTGTGCGAAAATAGGCTGGAGATTGACTTCAAAAGAATAAAAGGAATCTTAAAAGTATTACTTACTGTCTATACATACAGTCTTCGCTATTGAAGAATCTATCGCTAGGCGTTGTTTTGAATCCTCTCTATTTGCCAGATAATTGGTATTAACCCATACGAGAGACCCTCGATAGTGCGAAGCCCAAGCATGGATGTGAAATACGTTATCAGTTATGGCGTGGTATAAATTGAAAGATAATGTGACAGAACACAGGTTTGTCGGGATCTTTTGTTCAGCCTTGTTCTACACTCTTATTTAACTTCAAAGCAGGTAGAGAACAATCCTTTTTAAAAGAACAACGTACAAAGCCTTCTAAATGAAATAGAGGCTATGGAAAATTCATGCCTACTAAAATAGACAAAATTGTATAGATGTATTATAGATATATAAGGACGTCTAAAATAAGTGCTCATACAGAACCAATGTATTACATTTCGTTCAAAAGTTACAGCAGTTCGGTACATACATAGGGTCATGAGCGCAACTTTACCACGGGACGACTGTTCTATTGCGGCTGATATATTATCTCGTTAATTTCTTTAATGGCGTGATTTAGACCTATGCCAGTTCGTCCGGATTTTTTTAGATATTAATATGGCCGTCGCCAGAATAAATACCAGCAACAGCCACGATGGAGTTCTACGTTCTTTAAAGTGTGGCTCGAAATCAATTCGAAATAGGAATTTTCATTGCAGAATTTTGATTCCTTATAGTGCAGAGCAGAGGTCAATACGAGCAATCGCGCTTCAGTGCTCAAAGATTCAAATATGCATTCATATTCTACGGTGTTCGGAGAAAATCCAGTTGGTGCTTCTGACGAGAACAGCTCAGCTAGAACTGGAAAAGACAGGCAACTATAAGCCCACCCAGATAGACTGATACAAATGTATAACATAATGCTGTGCTGTACTACATACGATGTAGTACTCTTGAAAATTTATTTTCTTTTCTTTCGTCCCCCCACCCCATTGGTTGTGATACTATGTACTCAGTAAAGGCCTGTTGTGTGTTGCCTATTGAATTACCGATCTCGGCTTACAAAGTCTGTCGATGCAACTTATATCTGTCGGTCCCTTGAGGAATTTGGTGTGGCTCTGAGGAATTCGGGATGCGTGATAAATATCCGAAATGCATCCCTAAATCCCGATTTTCCGGCTTGAAAATCTAATGTTCTCATCTAAGTCGCCTCCGGTTAATCTGGGCTCTCAATCTCATCAGTATGAGCTTCAGTATTATAAATCCTAATTTTTTTTTTGGGATTTTTTTGTGTACCCTTTCGGGATTGTGAATCAGCGCATAGTGGTATGTAGGTAATGTAACATTCTCGCGTTTCGCGAAATGTTAATATGCAAGCACTGCAAATGCTGTTCTACGTGAAGGTAGTATAATGCATCTATAATAGCGGCTGTGTACACACACATCTATATAGCTTCTATCAAACACCCAATTAGAAGCTCCCCCAAGCGACCAACATGTTCTGAACTTCAGGATTATCGAGGCGAGTCAGTAAGGAAAGGGAGTGAGTGAACGCAATGGAAATAGAATAAGTTTCGAGCAAGCGCCCACAACTCACACAACTGTCCAATAGCACACACAAACCCCTCACCTTACCGGGTGTTGACCCGATTCTCATGAATCGAGCTTATCCCACATCCACATTCCGTTTCACATTCCAGAGAAAATCGGAAATATTCTTTTCCAATCCACAAGCCCAAGTCGGCGGCTGGCTTGGAATACTCATCCCTGTGCGACATTACATCCATCCTGTGAACACAATTCACGAACCCACACAAAACGAGTAAATCAGAAGTACACAGTTTACATGTACGAAAAACGGAAAGATAGCATAATTGGGTTCTCATTACACGACAACGACACAAAACACATACAATAATAACATTGGTATTTAAATTCATGTACGAAGATAGGAGCACACAATAACGAGTTTGATTTCTTCCACATTATCGCACATGCATGCGTACATAAAAGATACAGGTACATCGTTTATGTACCAAATATGGTCAAGAAATATACAGTAATCACAGCCGTCCACCCACGAGGGCATATAAATGTACGTATATACCAAATGTACGTTATATATACACATGCACGCACAATTGCAATTTGCATACAATTTAAAAACGGATCATATATGCGTGAATTCGCATATAAATGTATACATACAGATCCAAGGATGTAGAAGTATACATTTACATACAAACATACAGAAACATATATATTCATATGGATTTGTACATACATACAGGCACACCAATATATATTTACCGGTCATATTCCAACGTATACGTCGTTATACAAGAGAGGTTTCTTTGAAATAAACATCCGGAAGGAAATGACGAATGTAAATATTGCAACACACACATACATATATACATACACGTACAACAGACATACACGTACGATCGAATATTGTAATGCCATCCACCATTGAAATGCGTATACATTCATGAGAGTGTATGAGCATTCAAAAATGACGCCCGGAATCGAGTTTGGTCGTTGTAGCACAAGTAATTCCAAATAGAAATAAATATGCACATAAATGCATATATAGCATTATAAAGCAAACGCAGATAACACATAGTACGTAAAAAGTTCACAAGATCACGACCAATACACATAGGTACCACAACCAGAAAAGAAACAGGGGAAAGAGAAAGAACGGGATGCCACAACCATCCCGTTGGGTTGTTGATGTCGGTTTAGAGTATAATCACGGACTGAACATTTGCAGCATAGACGCTAAGTATGGTTTGAATGCGATACAAGAGCGTTCTAGTTGGGGGGCTCCGGTGGATTACGCGCAAGTGCATTGGTGGTCTAATGACTTTGTAGTTACCGAACGATAAATAGCGCAAAATGAAACCGAACTCAGATACAGTCGAAGGGGAGGTGCATATGTGTCGCACGTCTTTGAGTTGACAAGGCAACGTATAGGTACCTTATGTGCGGGTGACAGGATGTACGGCCGCTACACACATTTCAATTCTTACGGAAGAGGATTCGAATTTGGAAGTAGGTATGCTACTTTTCATTCTCCAAAGGACTTGTACGATGAACGCTGTACCACGCACACCAAACATGCAGCATATACAACACGACTCTGAAACATAGTATAAAATACATTTATATAAATAAATATAAGAAATACATATAAATATATACATACATACATACACATGTATATATATATAAATAGATATAGATATATATACATATGCATATATCTAGAAGACAAAACTTTGCGCATGAATGAGAGATGATAGGCGAGAGGAAGGAGAAGGGAAATGGCGAGGCACCTTGATCAGTCTCCGGAAACGCTCTCGGCACTGGTATCCGTGGGAGCTGTGGCCTTATCAGCATCTATCCGCGGTGCTTCATTATATTGATCCTCGTATTCTTGTGTGTTTGTACTTGACTTCGTAGTGGTGTCTGTGTCTATCCTGGTACTTCCAATAATCACACCCCGTGCTATAGCCGCACGCATGACATCGGTGATGGCTGCTTGGTGGTTGCTGCCGTGTGAGATGGCGACAAAGTCTAGGTTCTCGAAATCTAACCAATCCTGCCACAGTGCGGCACACAAGGGCAGACTACCCACGCCTGAGTAGAAGGTATAAGTGATACAGTTAGGGGTGGGTGGGTACGATACACTGTCTGTGTGTGAACCATGCCTGAGTAGAAGGTATAAGTGATACAATTAGGGGTGGGTGGGTACGATACACTGTCTGTGTGAACCATGCCCGAGTAGAAGGTATAAGTAATACAATGAGGGGTGGGTGGGTACGATATACTGTCGGCGTGACCCATGCCTGAGTAGAAGGTATAAGTGATACAATTAGGGGAGAGTAGGTACGATATACACTGTGTGAACCATGCCAGAAGGTATAAGTGATACAATTAGGGGAGGGTGAATACGAAGGGTATCGGCTGTATGGCGGTACAGTGTAGCAGTCTGTATGTACATATACATGCATGGACTACAAGAAGGGCACGATACATAACAATACAGACACAGTATCATACACAAATCATGTAGAGCGCACATATACCCCATACTACACGGAGAATCATGGCAACTTCTTGGCGTATGTAAGTATGCCTACCTGCACTGTACAGCCATCTGGCTTCCTCAATCTTCTTCTCGTTAATCTCTAAAGCCGCAGCCATCCGCCAGGCTACAAAGAACTGGGGACAGGCGCGTACCAACCGCCCCAGAATATTATGTGCCTTCTGTACGGCGCCTGTTTATGAAAAAGTTATACGAGAGGTATATATCAATGACTGTCATGACAAGGCAATTGTTTCAGCCATGTACATATATACATAAATTCATTTAATAGGATTTCAATACACATATATTACCATAATTGAAGACACAAGTATAGGGTACCGCAACGGACGGGCAAACATCAAACTTGACGACAAGCATATCGGACTATAAATGGTAATATATGTATTACAAATCAAGTTGGAGTACATATGCAACAGAGAACTCCACAAAAGAAAAAAGGGAAAAAAGGAGCTAGATATCTACAACGACGCGCAAGTATCTAGTCATACATAAAAGAAACTGTAAATATACGTACCTATACTGTACTGATAATACACTGCCTTGAGGGAGATGGATGGATTGTCGGGCTCCAAACGAAGAGTGCTTTCGAACACTAAGCTCCATCGATTCTCCGGTAGACAATTGAAGAAGTAATCTAGTACTTTCCCAGAGAATCTGAATGTAGGTAGAAAGATGCGTGAGCATATACTTGGGCAGCAAATAATAACTGAAGCACTAAAGAGGACTCTTTTTAACGATAAATAAATAAACAAATAAATCTGATTACAGTTATAGAGGGATAATAAAAATTCTTATATATGAGTTGATAGTTGGAACAGTTTTTGTTCCGTTCCCACAGGTTCGGTGGTCACAGCGATACGCGAGGGGTATTCTACAGAGGTTGCGGGTAGAAGATACATATAGTCAATCTCCCCGCCCAATACACTAGCATAGCCAATGATCACTGCAATGGATGTAGCATGCGGTCTATCGCCGGTGATGGCTTTTCCCGAGCACAACCTGGAATTTATACATAAAAACAACAACACACATACGCACATACCATACATACATACATATTCACACAGACAGATTCTCACTCTACCACGTAAACATAGTGAGATAGTCGATATATATACCTATAGTCCTTCTCCCGACCCAGCCCAATAGCATATCCATAGCTCGCTGCAATGGATGTAGCAAACGGTGTTATTGCTGGTGACGGGTTTCGGACACGGCATCTATTAAGAACATCCTGTATCTTGGACTGATACACTGTTAGTTCGGTACACTCGAGGTCAGGAACTTCACGCCGTTTCTGCGTGTCGCAGAGATATTCGACGTAGTCTATGTACACCTGTGAGTGGAGGGAATCCATAAATACGGCGATTAGTATATTTGTACTGAGTATGTATGAAAACATGTTTTCATCAGAACACCCACACGTGCCTACAAGCACGTCCGATCGTGGAAATGGCCCATTTTTCACATGTCAATAAATATACATATATATATTTATAAATATATATACATACATATAAATACAGATACATACATATAAATACAATGAGAAAATAGCACATACCATATACACGTCTTCCTAGCTGAATTTCCTCAAATATACAGATACATAATATATATCGACATACATACATGTCCTGGCTGGTAGTGTCATTTCATGTGACTCAGAATTCCCACACATACCTAGCGAGCAGGACCTGCACTCGCCAGTGAGCACGACAAAAACCACATCCCATCTCCACACCACCTTACACATACATAATTTATATCGACATACATACATGTCCTGGCTGGTAGTGCCATTTCATGTGATTCATAATTCACACACAGACCTAGCGAGCAGGACCTGCACCCCGCCAGTGAGCAAGACAAAAACCACATCCCATCTCCACACCACCTTGCACAACACATGCATAGTTTTAATCAGCTCGAACATTGTCCAATCCCGTACTATACCACGAATGCGATTACTCTTGATATACCTAAATACACATCCCAAATCTCTATACACACTACTCTAGATATACCTAAATACAAATCCCAAATCTCTATACACACTACTATTTATATGCTTAAAAACACATCCCAAATCTCTATACACACTACTCTTGCTATGCTCAAATACACATCTCAAATCTCTATACACACACCTGACGTGCTGGGCTCCCACTCTGCAGTGTGACCAACGCGAGATCGTACGCCACCTCAACGCCATCTTGCTCCACATATGCTTCCTCATTAAAAGCTCCGTTACTCTCCGCACCCGTTGCCAACTGCAGGTACAGACAGTAACACTGCCACAGGGCTGCGTCCTGCCTACGCACACTCACAGACGAACTCGCCGCACAGTTCGGTACCAAGGTAGGCAGTTTGGTGTCATACGCGACAGGCAACCCCAGCAGGGTACGGTAGAGGGTGGCTACGTCCATGCATTTTCCCACAGTATCAGTGGTGATGGTCTGTGAGACCAGGATGTCTCTGTCATGGCTGTAGTGCACCCGCGCACACACGGTGAGCAGGGTGGAAGCTTTCTCCGCATCTCCACACGCCAGACTCCACCGCACATACGCGTATAGCACCCGTGGCACGTCCGCTATAGACAGTGTGACCTCAGCAGAGTCTGTACCACTCTTGCTATCACCAGCACCAACCAGATCGCTAGTCTGAGCTTCCTGGGCTTGGGATGTTGAAGGGCAGTTCGGCACTGCTCCTCTTACTGGCAACTCGGCCAACCCCGTTCGCCCACACGCTACGCCTATAACATAGTCAAGCAGGCCCGAGGTCTCCTGACAGGCCATACACAGGCGGATGTACACCATAACACCTCGTACGCGATCTTCGCTGGCGTGTACTGTCTGTGTTCGCTCTGCTACGGTAGTAAACATACGGTTCAACATCTCCAACCCGTCCTTGAACAGCACCTGGTGCGATACCGGGGTTGCCGCGACGCCACCGACCGCTCCACTGCTGTCAGTATCTGTGGCAATTTCAGACGCGCGTGTACTCGGATCGGCCAGGTGGACTATCAGCCACACTGCACTCAGGCACAGTAGAGTACCGAACCTTTCTGCAGCTATTTCTCCTACTTCACCATGATCCCTACGCCCGTGCAATACTGCCATGGCCGACCGGTAGTGGCCAATTAACGAGGAATACGCCTGACGCAGCACGTTCACTGGTAGTCGAGACCACTCCAACACACTCTCACCCAACAGATCGGGCACGGGCGCATCCTGGGAGTCCATATACAGCGCCACAGGCACAGTATGGAACATTCGCACATGCAGGTAAGTCAGCCACAGCCGCGCAATGTTGCCCGGTCCTAGTCTGTCTGTGATCCCCGCAAAGACAACGGAGCCCTGCTTAGGCACTATTCTTGTAGCTTGAGCTGGTGATGTGGTTTGTGTGTGAGTACGTACTCGAGCTTCCGTACCCGTCTTCACATGCGGGTATGCACGTTCAGAACCAGGCGTAAGCATGCTCTCGCACAGATCGATGGCGGTGGCACGCCGGCCTGTTAACAGATGCAGATGTACGGCATACACCGCAAACCGCAGCAGACTATCCTCCAACTCCTCCACATTCACAGCCGCATGATGTCCAGAGCCACCCGCGTATCCATCCGATCCCTGTTCCGTATCAGTGTCTGGGCTTGGGGATGTCGTCTGTTCTGTCTCCGGGTCCAGGTCCATGTCTGTACCGCTACTCTCGCCCTCTTCCGAGCCTTCTCCATTTTGCGCAAAGACCCCCTCCAAGGCCCCCTGCGCCGCACTATTAACATCGCTGTCGTCATCGCTTGTGGAACCGTCCTCGCCATCGGTGGAGCACATATACTCGTGATCATCCACCTTCATGGCATCTGCAGTGTCCGGGTTCTCATCTATTGGACCCCTTTCGCGTGTTCGTAGCTGCGCTTCGAGCCCAGCTTTTCGGGTTTGTGCGTGTATCTTCTTGGCACGGGCCTGTTCTGCGAGTGCCCTTATATTCTGCGATTTGGAACGCGTGCTGGCGATAACCAGATTCGGGTCTTGTCTCCGCTGTTCTGTCGTGAGTGGGGTTCGGGTAGTCGCTATTGAACCCGATTTTGATTCTGAATTTCGCTTTATATTCGACCCTCGGTTTTTAGCAGCGGTTGAGCTTGCCCGCGTTTCCAGCTTCTCATCGAGGCAGCCCTAGTGGTAGAAATGTGCGAACACTGATATGTTACGGAATCATATACCGCCTAGTAATCTAGAAATGTGCTGGTAAAACATGCATTAAGATTCACATCGTATTACCCATACAAAAAGATTTTACATATAAACCCATGTTTAAAAATGCTTTCATATACTCACCTGGATAGCTTCATATGCGCGGCAAACAGTCTTGTACATCTCCGAGTACGAGCTATCAAAGTGTATCAGGTGCCACCACAGCTTGAAGCTCCAAGGCACTAGCCTGACAGCATCTGCATACACCTCAGCGATATCATCTTCCTCATCAACGTGTTCTTCGTACAAGGTCAGATACTCGATCCAGAGACTCTCGCTATCTCGGTTCAGTTCCAGGCCACGTGAGAGCACGTGTAAGGATATCCTCGCGGACTGTTTCTCGCGCTGCTCCACGGTTGCCATGGAAACGGTATCGTTCAGTGCAGTGTTGGCGGCGTCTTTCGCAAACTCGATCCACAGAGATGTGTCACGTGGGTGTTTCTTCAGAATGGCTTCAAAATCACGTTTTACACCTACAACGATGGATACATCCATATGACGCGTATGACGGTGGAAGTATAAGTTTAAACGGCGTACAGAGTACTATATAAGCAGAGAATATTTCAGACGCGGAATTCCAATCCACTTGACTACACACCTGAGTTGGCAGAGTCCCAATACCGAACTATCTCTTTATCGTCTGTGTTGTCGCGCCTTGCGTTGCCCTTGAGCGTGTGCCCGATCTTCATCGTTGCCTTCGCATCCTCAATGCGAGCCTCCAGTGCGTCTATGCTGACCTCTCGAGGGTCTAGGCGCTTTGGCTGATGGGTTATAATAGCATACATCAGAAACACGGCCAATAATAAGCCTTGCACACCACATATAGCCCTCAATCCCATTTGTAGCCAAGAAACAGGTCGTGTATTTTTAGATGTAAAACTAGCTTCCAACCACTAATCACATATCGTGGGCATGGTGTAGGTAGAAGCAATTCCCTAATAATAATAACGAAAAGGTGTTCACGGAAAAAATAAACATGACTGAGCGTACACTTCATGTGCATATCCACGAGTCTAACCATACGTTCTAATCGGATCACACAGAGCCACTTACCGGTGCAAGGGCATGCTGAGTGCTCGTAGGTGTCCACTTCCTCGGGGCTGCCGCAACATACTTTGGACCACCACGTGCCGCATTTTCCTTCGAATTATTCACTTCGGATACCAACATCAACTGCAACTCCTTATCGCCCAGCGTGGGGTATTTGCTACGCAGTTTTCCTACACGCTCGGCTATTTGATCCTGGCCGTCTAACTCATCTCCCGCGTAGGAGGCAATGTCTTGCAATAAATCGGCCTCGGAAAGGGTGTAATCCTTGACGTGTTGGGCTCTGCAAGTGCTGGAGCGGCACACTTTGCCCTCCAGTTCTTTCATACAGAACATCTTCATTGGATCGATTTTGTGGCTGTGCAACGAGATAGATTCATAGAAGATTGTCAGGCAAAGTATGTATAGAACAAACTGGAGTTCGGTGTCGAACGTATAAAACGGCACATTGATAAATTAAATTTGAGTTTTACCACTGAGTTTGAACATCGCAAAATGAAACGACAGATCGAGATATCACACTATACGTTGTAGTCTAATCAAATCCAAGGTAACACAGCATCGACTCCATGAAGCGCTCAAGTAGTCCTCACCTGTAGGTGTTCGAGGCGATGCTCAAATTCGCTTTCGTGCGATAAAACGGGACGAAGCGGTATGACTTAAACATCCTGAGCGGGCTCTCATACATGCCACTTGTGTCAGCACCCCACTGATCCGGCTGACTGTCCGGTACCTCGTTGGATTCAACTTGGTTTGCTAACAACGTAAACCGGTTGTTAAGATCATTCACGGGTCGTCCGGGCTTGGCGGTGGCGCCTGGATATTAATCCGACATACAGAGCCGTTGAGGATGAACGTCCGTTCAAAATTATGCAGATATGCTAATGTACGTACACAGTTTGCGTGTAAGCTGGCGTGTTTAAAAGACTACATGTATCAACAGAAAGCAAATGGACTTTCTGTAGCAGGTATTCTCAATGTAATACAATTATTCATGCCAATTGAGGTATGGATTTAGACCCACCTCAACAGGTTAAATCAGATAAACCTGCACCCATAAAGATATATTCCGAAATACACGACTGCAATAGCAAGACACCAATAAGAAACCACTCGTACCTGGCTGTCTCCCGACTATTCCATTACGCACTTTCGATGCAGGTATGATCACCTTCGGCGTATCCGTTCCCATTTTGCCATGCGGTTTAGAACCGGTGGACCTTTTCGATACAGGTTTGTTATAATCCCGTTGCGCTTGCCCCTGTAGTTTTATAGTGTCAATAATCCACGCGTTCGAGGCACCTAACGCCGCTCTAAAAGGCAATACCCACGTACGACGCGGTACTGTTAGGGTACCCTGGTCCACTGCACCTCGTTCCCTGACATTAGTGCCGGTGCTCTCCATTTGCACTTTGTCAGGCTCGCCTGAATGCTTCTGGGACTGTTGACCTGCACCAGCCCCGGGCGATGGCCGGGGAGCGGTTGCCATGGCAACACTCGACCCGCTGTCAGAGGCGGCGGCAGTAATCGCAAGAGGAGAGGACACAACCCGCTTTGCATCGAGACTTTCGAGATCTTTAGTCGCTTGTACGCGAAGGGCTGCTATCTCCGCGTCGGTGGCTGTATCGTCATATACAGTACTTGAGGCCCTGATAGTAGATAGTGGTAAGTGGGGAAGGTGATATTATGTGAATAGGGCGAATGACTTGCCAATTGACTGTTTAAAACCCTGTGGTACAACTCACGCCCGATATATTCAGTTCAAATTTTTCCAGCGTACTTCTTTGTATGTGCATATCCTAACCACACACGGCTAGTGCACATGTACATACCCACTCTTCAGCGCCAATGTCGCTCGTCGGCTATTGACCAGAGAATCAAGCAGCTTAACTCGGGACATATACAAAGCACCGGTCCTTTTTTTGCACTCGAGGGTTTCCAATTCGTGCTTCCTCGCTGAATCCACTATGACTTCCTTTGCCTGTCGGAGCTTGGTCTCGTTTTCTGCCAGCGCACTTTCGGTCTCGGCTAGGGCTGCCTTGAGTTCGGCCACGCGTTTCCGTTGTAGTTGACACGTGCTGTGGACATAAGTGTGTTACGAAGAGTTAAGCGAAGAATAACAACATCCATATACACAGGTTAGCGTCTTGACTTCAGAGAAAACAGGGGTGGATTTTGGGTGCTATGATAGCACAAAACTGTGATTGCTAGAAATGTGATAAAGTATCGTATATTGATACGACTGTATACTAGAAATAGCTAATAAATACACAATGTAGTTGACGAGGAGTTGTAATGATACTCTGGGACAGTAAAAATGCTTTGGAAAATAAACGCAAACTTACGAGCGACTACACACTAATAAACGGAGAGCCGACAGGGGCAGATATATACATATACATAAGTACGTATTTGCGTTGCCATTAAAAAAAAATCAGAGAGATTATACAGATATTGTGAGAGTTTTGTAAGCGTGCCACAATGATACAACAACGCGACACCAGAGAGGTGCAGGGGCACATCTTCACACACACACCTCAATACGGTATCTCGGATAGTACTCGCAGTTTTCTGCTTGGCGTGTACTGTCTCTATAACCACTCTGGACGCATTCACGAGAGCCTCGTGCTCCCTCACAGTTTCACGTTGTTGCATAATAACCTCGTGCGTGGTATTCTGTACGGTTGTAGATACAGGCACGGGCACATCCAGAGGCAGCCCATTGGAAGTTGTGCTGGGTGCAGAAGTCGAGCCTTGCACAGCGACAGCTGTTGTGGTTGCAACTGCATTTGCTGGTTCTGAGATAGAGGGTGGCGCCGGTGAGGTGTCCAGCCTAATCCTCTTATCCCGATGCTCGCTTGATGGGTCCGGAGTACTAGCCTCAACACTCGAACCAGCACCTCCCAACAACAGTGCACGCTTGTGAGCACCCGGTACACTCGCCAAGGGCGAACCCCCACTTGACAGCTCTTTGCTCGGGTCACCAGTACTTTTCGCCGAGTTGCTAGGCACAAGGACGGGCGTCACAGTAACAGGACTGGTCCTCCCCGCCGGTATCGGGGTGCTGCCTCGTGTACAGCTCGCACTATGTCTCGCACTGAGCAGGCTGACTCGGGCTTTCTTGGCCTTGCTCTTATTCGCCAGTGTTCTCCGGGCTAACTCGGCCTTGAGATTCGCCAGTCGCTCGGCATGGGTCAGTGGAACACTGGCCACGTTCCTGTTAGTAGCGGCAACGGCCTCGTCGCTGCTGCTGTCCGTATCCGTATCGTCTGGGTACAGAACGGTGGGCTGGCGCAGGAACAATGGCTCGGGTGGGAACACAGCCCTCTTTACGGGGCGCAGGGTTGACCCAGTACTCGTACTGGGGCCCTTTTTGTGAGGCATGCTTCCAGTCTGAGTTGCGTCGGGGATGGGTGTACGCGATCCCACCAGGGGTGCCGAAACCCCGCGTTGGGTCCGGGTCTGGGATTGTGTTTGGGATTGACTTGCTATTGCGTTCGCATTATTATTAACTGTACTTGCGGTTGTGGTGGCCGGTGGCAGTGCAGCAGTGGGGTGTTGGGCCTTGAGTCGATTGAGGAAGGCGGCTGCGTGGTTAACGCACGGGGTTTTTGCAGATGGTGGAACGGGTGATACTGAGCGGCTGAGCGAGCTCTGATTCGCTGCCGCAGGCACAGATGGATTCTGATTGGACACGCTACTTTCAGACGCATTCTGATTGGCGGGCGCGTCCTTGTCCGTGGTTGGCTTCTTGGCCTTTTTCGCCAGTAGCTGGGCTCGCAACGCGTTTATGTCCAACCCAATCATCTGTTGCTGTGCTTTCTTGCGTTTAACGATGGTTTCCATGGCTTTCGCGCGCAGTTTATCTAGGTCAACTGAAGACGCGGATATCGGCTTCTTCACGGAATCGACGGCCTACGGGGCGTGTGAAGTGAGATAGGATTTGCGAACGTTTCGGAATATACATGTATATATAAGCCAGTGCCACCTTACGAATTGAAAGCTAGGTCTCCGAATGTTTATACCACGAAGATGCGTCAATTGGTATATTAACAGAAATGGCCGCCTACTTAGGACGTATGGAAGATAATAAATATAATTGACCGAAACTGAATGACTGAAGAACATATCACTTATCGGATTGTGCGATGAGTTTTCCCAATGCAAACATGTGATACAATCTAAATAGATTCCTCGATAAATATATACACGACCGTGAATCTGACAAATAACTTTAACGTAGTTTTTAAATCCTACGCACAACACTCAATTGCGAAATTCTATAATATTACACCTCAAAAAATATACATACTAAACTTCAAACGAAAGAAGCTTGCCAAGACATACACAAACAGCGCGACTATACGAAACTCATATTGCAAAAACAAACTCAACGATCGCATGGGTATCATACACTACAAAACATGTCTGGAATTTCAGCATTGGCATACACTGAACGCAATCCACACCCAGCGCTGGGCTGGCGTATTCAAAACTAATATCTATACCGGTGACGCAACGCTTGTCGATGTGTGGTTAGGCTCGGCTGTCGAGGGTATAGTGGGTCTGGGTGCAGCAGGATATATTTCGATGGCAACAGGTGGACTTCTCTCGTCCTCTGAACTCATTTCCATGTCTTCTGATTGGATGATATCGTCTTGGTGCACTTTCACCTCGCCATTGGCGGCAGTTGATTGGACGACAGGTTGAGTGTCGCTATTGGTGGATTCTGATTGAGGCTCGGCGGGCTTAACGGGTTCTATCGACATCCAGAAAGGAGGAAAAGAATCGCGCCCGAGTTAAAACTCGACCTTACTAGATATCAACAAGGCGCGCTGTGCTAGTAACCAACAATCAGCATACATCCAGCTGCAGGTTTTTCAATATTTACACGCGCACACACACTCACTCGAGTGAACGTTCACGCACGTATACACACCGACCCAGACGTGACGCTGAACAAGCTTTATCGAGATAACCAACTACCAAATATGATCCATGAGCTTGCCATAGCACAACACGCGAGCGACTTCCACAATAACATATAGAGTATAGGACTAGTTTGATTACCTTTCCCTTCAACTGGAGGGGATGGTAAGTTGGGCATCAACTGCCCAGTGATTAAGTCCTCCACTACAAGTCCGTTCTCCGACGCAATACTCTTGAGATCAAGTGTCGAAGCTGAATAGGGCATTTCACAGGACAAAGTTCCCTCGACAATGGCCGAGGCCGCGTCACATTTTATACCCGAGCCAAACATAACGGGTGAGCTTTTGTGCTTCTTTGTGAGGGTCTCCAAATGATCGTTATCTGTGACGGGTTTAGCAGGCGGTGTGCAATTAAGACATTGTGCGAGCAATTTAGGCGATCTTTTTTCTGAGGTCTTCTGAGGGATCGTTATTTATAGCAATGGACTAAAAACGAGCGGCCAAGGGAATGCCCCTCATTGAAGTGAACACAATAAGAAAAATATGCAGGTTTAGGCTAGTACTCACTCTTCTCTCAACCTCAAGCCTGTACACCATTGCAATAAAATAAAATCTTCAGAACATACAGGTTTTCGGGTTTTACAGGCAGAAGCATTGAGGAGATACGGCCCGTGCTTTATGTATAAATTTGAACACCTGAATGAACCGAGTAATTTAAACTGCCCACCGAACAACAGGTCACAGACAGCACATCCCTATGAAGGGAGACTTTCATGCTTTATATAATATTGGTACAAGCAAGCGTGTAGCCGCTATACTCTGACCCTTTCGGGACACGTGCCTGACTATCACACATAATACTTGAAACACGATCTATTCATATACCACAAGTTAGTACTTATCCACAGGAACACCAGAGCTAGCACACCTCGTTGATGACAGAATCTCCCGCTTTCCACAACATTTGTACTAGCAAGCATATAGCAGCTAACCCTGCTCACTTCGAAATACCACTTTGGATAGCCCCATACCAATAAAGACACAATCAATCGCTTCAAGGACAGCATATTCAAACAATTCCATACAGATATAATTATAGGAAGACGACTTCTAAGAACCACACCTTTGAATAATTCCATGCCGAAAAACACATGATCCTTCGGCACGAAAGCCTTGTTCTGGAAAACGGTATCCTCCGCAACACCGGACCTTTTTTCCGAATCGGAGTGCAGCCTGCTCCGCCTGTTTGACCGGGTAGGACTGGAGTCCCGTCTCTGCGTACTTGCTGAGCGTACACGGGTGTGGGTGTGTGCATACCCATCCCTCGACCTATACAGCCCAGTATCAGAATCTCTGCTGATTCGAGAGGCCCTGTCTCTGTCTCTCGGGCCGCTTTTTGCTGCATTCTGAGCCAAGCCCTGCAAGCGCTGGTGTGAGTGCAGAGAGGCGTAAGACCCATACTGACCATCCCCTACATCCAATACATTCTCCCTGTCTCTCTCTAACCCAAACGAATTCGTACTACGAACCGTGCTTGCACGTTTCCGTTGCGCTTCTCGCTTTTTTTGGCCCGCAGAAACCACAGGAATGCCCTCGAACCCTTCAGGCGCACGCATAGCCAAGGGATGGCCTCCCAATACATCGGGCCCAGCCCCATTTGCCGATAGACTGGTACCCACGCCATACGTCGTGGTGGCAGAATCAGGCGTGTGTGTGGTAGTTACGGTCTCGTACGGGTCGAAAAATCCAAAACCCAGTTGATTGCGGTTATTGGTGTTGATGCCACTGATATTCACACCCGCACCCACACCCCAAGGACCAGACCCGGCTACTACTGATGTCTCGGCTATAGACTGTGAGCGCGATACCACGTGCGAGGATGCACGAGATAGACGGTGGTTTCCAGGCCCATTTAAAGACCCGATTGAATCGAAGAAATCCCTACGGTTCTGGTTTTGTTGGCTGGTCGAGTGTTGTCTTCGGTTGTTATGTGTGGAGTGAAAATCGTCGCGTTGTTCGGCGAGGGCAGCTGAGCGCCCGTGGTTTCGTAGAAGCTCTTCATATTCATCGACTTTGTCTGTGGAAGTGGGTACACCGGAAGGGTAGTGAGTAGGGGAGCGAGTGAGAAAACACAAACGGTATATATATATACACTTTTATGAATATACTTATATATATATATCTATATATTATATCACAATTCAATAAAAAACATTTGTATTTTTGTATATAACAAACATATATATATATATATATATCCATTTAAACGAATGTATACTATACGTGTATAAAATCAACACACTCAGCCACACCCAAACAGCCACACCCATATATATATATATATATATAGATTTACGTTCGCTTACATATAGCATATATACATATATACACGTGTATTATATTATTTTATAGGCTGATTGTGCATATAGTTGTAAAATACCGCTGTGATAAAGAAGGCCACAATTCAATCTTCTGGGAGAGAAAAAATAGAACTCTCACATGGTCTTATGAGACACATACAAAAACACACGACGAAGAACTTCCACAATAGCATTAATACATAACATCAAGTAGGTACACACCCTCGTCAGCAGCGATGTTCCATAGCGATCGAGAGCCTCTACTCCTATAAGCGCTCGCGTCACTGTCCCTCGCATCAGCCCGTGTATTACTTAGATCCGTATGTGTATGTGTATATATATGTGCACTCTCAGATACTTCATTTGTTGCACCGGAATTTCTCAAAGCATCACCCACTTCCACATTATCTTCACCGTAGTCACTGAGCTCGCCTTCTTCGCTGCTGCTGGTAGCGTCGCCCGCCGCCACATTCTGACTCATATTTTTATTTATAGGCCCACTTGACTTAGGCGTCTTCCTATTATTTATACTTGCATTTACTGCAACTGCCCGGGTTAACGCAAGTATTTTCGCCGTGTTTGTGGTTGCATTCACTTCGACAAGTTTAGTCGTTCTTACACTCTTATCGATACCTACACTCTCATCACACCCAGAGGACTTCGCAGTAGCATCTGTAGCATATGTATTCAGATTATTCAACCCCTGTAATCGAGAGTTACTAATCTGTTTACAGTCACTCCCAGTTGTTCTACTGTTAGCACTTGGTTCGGCCGAACTAGACTTGTACGATTTAGCAGTATGACTATGTTCAGATGCACCGGCACTCAGCATACTATGGGCTGTAATAGCAATGCGATATGTATTGTGATGATATGAGATAGGTATGGTTTAATCTCTTGCTGCTGTGTATGTTATACGTGTAAGTATGTATGTATGTATGTATTCATGTACATCATATAATACACAGGAAGTACGTGTATGTCCCTATACTCTCATATACGTGATGTACAAATAGTGGCGTCACTGTGGCGGATGGTTGCTATTGCGCGTGTGGGCAAATGTTTGGGCCGTGCCAAATAGCGCGTGACAAAATAAGCAAATTTTCGAGGTCAACGACATGTACAATATTTTTTTCTTATAGTGCAAGCTTACTGATGCATACTGGTAATAAACATCTAGTAGAAATTAAAAAACAAAGTTACAGTCGATTTTCAGGGTAACATAATTGAGAAAATATAGTTTAAAACATGTACTATTGTGTGTCGGAAACTATCTCATTTGGCTCGCGTGCTCTCAAATCGCCTCACAGCTGCAACATGTTGCTTCTGATAGATGTTAGCTTCTTATCCGAGATATATATCGTTTGTAGACCCTAAAAAGTGATAGTATTATTGCTCTCTCTCTATATATATATACATATACATAAGCTTGTGAGCGTGTAGTGATACACACAGCGCAAGCGCTATATATATATATATAAAATGGGGAAGAAGAAAAAATCGAAACCTCAAAAACCATGGTGCTACTACTGCGACCGCGAGTTTGACGATGAGAAGGTGCTGATTATGCACCAGAAAGCAAAGCATTTCAAATGTATTGTGTGTAGTAAGAAGCTCAATACGGCGGGTGGTATGGTTATACATTGTATGCAAGTCCATAAAGAACAAGTCAAGAGTGTGCCTAATGCGAAGGAGGGTAGGACGTCCGTGGACTTAGAGGTGTTTGGAATGGAAGGTATACCGGCTTCTGCGTTGCAACAAAAAGCGGGTAAGTCGAGTGCAGATAAGGTTCAACAAATGGTATTCTAAGCTTTGGGGTTTTTTTTGCTGGTTATGGCTGTCATGAATACCTATATACCTATATATATATACCTATATATATATATATATATGCATATACAGACATACATACATACATACATACATGCACAAACACACAAACACACACACACACACACACACACATATTATATATATATATATATATATATAATATAATATATATATAACTATANAATATACATATATATATATATAGGTATAGTATATTATACTAANAGTATA